TCATATAAATTAAAAAACTATAGACAAAATATATGTATATACTTCAATCTCATATATATTTGTGATTGAAATTAGGGTGTTGCTATATTTGCACCCATTTTGGATATATCTACTCCTTGTATATTAAATAGACAATCCACCCTTAAAAGTGGTCTTGCATCAAAATACTCTTTCTTTTTTTTTTTGTATTCTTAGGATTAAAATTGTTAATTTTAACATTAATGTAGTAGATATAGCCAAAATAAGAATGGTTATAACAACACCCCTAAACTTGTGATTTTTTACAACTTTTGTTTTAAAAAAATCGAAAGTGTTTATTTGTGTGAGTAAAAAGCTTAACATTTTTACTCAATTTCTTGACATTTCAATCATTTGAAAGTGTAAGAAGTATGGAAAACCCATATTGTTCTTACTCTGCCTATTTTTATTTTAGTGCTACCATTATAAAAACCCATATTGTTCTTTGGAATTTTAATTCCATTTCAATACTATTTTGCTCCCCAAATATTACTTTAGTAATAAATTTTTTGTTTTCTTTTTAAAATTTTATATACTTAATTTGAAGGTGGATGTAACAATGTTTTGAACATTAGGATAAATCTATTTTAACAACGGAGTTTGAAAACCAAAAATCAGAAACATGTTAAACAACAATTGTATATGAGGTCTAGACAATATTGTCCGTACATATATCTGCAAAAGACATGATATCAAATTTGGGTGTCACCGTAACATGGTCTTTAGTTCTTATTAAGGTTTATTCGCTCTTTTCAATTTATTCGTTTTACCTACAAAGTATTACTTATTCTGATTAGAATAAGACCATATCAGACAAGAACAAATGAAATGAGAAGAAATTATAAATTTAACTGAAATAAAATCAAATTAGATTTGACGTTAATAAAATCCGACGAGAATCAATCAAATCAGTTAGAGATATAAGCTTCTAAGAGTATTCTTTCACCCTCTAACTTCAGTTAACTACAATTCGAACTTCAATATTTATATTTTATACTCAAAGAGATTTAGAACAAATATCCAAATCTCAAGGTATAGTTTTTGGTTAATCTTTTTTTACCAAAAGAAAAGTGAGATGGGCTGCGGTGAAATGTTGATATGGGCCCATTCATATTTCAGTGTCTGGTCTCCTTTTGATGGGCCGATTTTGAAATTGGACCACACTTTTTGAGTAATGACATTTACATAATCTTAACAAAAGTGACATTTCTGCAAAATCCAAAATAGATCCACCAAGATAATTTCTTCTTTTTGTTTTTTAGACTTTAAAACCAGAAAAAAAACATTATCCCAGACAATAAGTAAATGCAGTAATAATTTGTGTTAAAAACCTTTCTAAAAAAGATATAAGAACTACTATTTTTTTATTTGTTTACCACACATATTAATGAGAGATCCAAAAATTGTTGGTTTTTCACATTTATTCTTGGGTAAATAATGTTAAATAAAATGCATGGTGTAACTAGAATGTGATGATTTTGATTGTTAACGTAGAAGGGTAAATTTGACATTTAAGGTAAACTTTTTTGCCATAAAAAATGAGAAAAATTTCTATATATGAACTACAAAAAAACTCAAAATAATTTGCTTGGATGGAGGAGTATTTATTATTATTATTGTTGTTCCATTTGTCATCTATCTTTTATTTGTTTGATATTTCACGATTTTAATGTACCTCGTTGTTGAGAGAAATATTTTGGCAAATTCTTTCTTGGACCTAGTATTCATTCTCATTTTATGGATCTTAGTGTATTTGTAGTATAAAAGAAGTGATCATTTTATTTAAGAGAAAATATTCGATAGCAAAACTGGATTCTCTCAATACTCTCTATTATAGACTTATAGTAGTATTATAAAGGATGAGCCTGCTCTTCAGATCCGCTCGGACGGTCACTTAGAGTAGGTAAATTGGACTTTAATTGCAGTTTGATGGTAGGGAGTAGAGCATGCACTTAGTACTCGCAGAGGCTCTGTGTTTAACATAGTTGTCTTCCTGCGAAGTTGACATGAATCAAAATCCGATCCACTCTATTGGTACTCCGTATTTTTGTCAACTATGCAACGCTTACCGGCACTTATAGGAGTATTATGATATTGATGAATCTCAAAAATGCCATGAAAAAAGTATATAAATGCAAAGTAAAAACTCATCACATGGACCATAGTGGATCCTAAGTAATTTGTCATCACACTCATCATCAAGCTCATTTTTTGCCGTTCTCCACCGGGATCCGTTACACCTTACGTTTCAAAAAAATACTTCTATTAATTTTTGTGTGTACTTCTTTGTCCAAAAAATGAATATCACATTACACAAAGTGAGGTGAATTTTCAAATTGTTTAAATTTGTATTATTTAAATAGAAATAAAAAATAAAACTTACATATTTAAAAAATTGCATCAAAAGTACATATAAATAAGTTGTTTAATATAATTTCATCTACAAGATCTATTTAAAAGCAACTGAATTTTTCAAGTATTTCTTTTATATGAATAACTAATTCAATCGAGTGAGTGAAGACAAATACTTAAGAGCCAACCCCCACAACTAATTTTTAAAGATGGCCTATCAATGGTTAGAGTAGAACTAAGACGGCATTACAAAGCTACAATTTCTACGTGTAATAAAGTTCCCTTCAAATTCCAAAAGGCAAAATTAATTATTACCATATGCGACAATAGTAAGTGTACTTGATTAACACAATCATATTAATTTTTCAAAGGTCTCCGCTTCTTTCCTGTCTTAAATGATAGATAGTCCATTCTTCAAAATTCATAAGTTCACCCAAGTTTGTGTCTCACTGGAAGCGGAAGCATTGACTCTTTTTCTGTCACTGAGTTGAAAATACTATGACCAAACATTACCTTGTAAAAGAATCAATAACATTTTAAAAACTTGTCAAAGATCTTGTGGTCTCGCGACATTACAATAACTCTTTTAAATGAAAGGTTCGCCTCTCATTAGAGACAATAACTCTATGTTTCTTAATAAGTTGAGAATGGATGAATATATACCACATTGTATTGGAGTTATTATTCTTGTTTAAAAAATTATAATGCAAAATCACTTCTTTAAAAATAATCTTTTTGTTTCATAATTATCTAAAATTTATGTAAACTAAGTAAAATTTATATTTTTCAATTAATTTTATTTAAATATTAGTATAAAAATAAAAATAAACTTAGGTATTAAAAATAATGTCCAAAGTTCTATATAACAAGTAATGATGTCAAATAATTGATAAAAACATACAAGTTAACAAAAATTTTCTTTATTTCTGAAATAAATTCTGAAATAATAAAGAAATAAGATAATTTGGGACTTAAGAAGTAATAATGTAAAATTTATTTTCCAAAATCCAAATATTTTAAGGTAGTGTTTGGCAACTAGCATTTCATTTCAATTCATGCATTTCAATTCCAAAATTTGAAATCTTGAATTTCAAATGACAATGGGAGGTGCATAAATTTCAAATTAAGCTTTGTTATAAATGAGAAAAATTTGACTCAAATCCAAATTCAAAAATTTTAAGTTTCCCAAACATGAAATTTGAGCCAAATCTGGATTTGAAATCCAAATCCATGTTTTCAAACATACCATAAAAGACTTAATGTAAATTTACTTTTAAAAAATTTAATGGACTTCCCTAAAGTTACTCATATTTGCGATTGTCTCTTTTTCCTTTCATACATAAGTCCAATTCATGGAAAATCCATATTCATTAGCAAACTTTGGCTGACTTCAATATTTCCAACTTCAATTTTTTGAAAACAAAATACTTTATCCGTCTCATTTATCTTCTCTAGTTTTTAATATTTGATTAAAATTATTATTATATGGAATACGGAGTAAGTTTTATCCCGATTTACAAAACATAGAGTACAAATATCATATTTTTGGACGTACGGTGTTTTATATATTTGCATGAATAAACATTTTCGAGTAACTGATTAAATACTTATTATTAGACGTAACTGAATTCTAAAAAACTGAATATTCAATTACTCAAAATAAGTATATAGTTGTTCGAAAATAAGATTCAATTGCTCGTATATGAGTACTCGCCGCAGATGTATGAAAAACAACGTACAACTGATTGTACAATATATATTACACACAACATGAGGTAACATGACAAAGTTAATGTATCAAAATAAACAAAAAATAGGAAAAAAAGATTAAAACTTGATTTTATGAATAATAAATATATAACTTAAAATGGGACAGTGCCACAAGATTTATCAAGAGAAAACTACTAGTAATATTATAGGATTGATTACACATAATTATTATTTTCTCTATCTTAACTTCCTCTGTTCCAAATTAAGATTTACTTCTTTCCTTATTTTTCTTACACATTTGATAAAATAATACGGAGTATAGTAATGTCACTCCTAATTTCATAAAGCTTTCAATGTTTTTTTTTGAATATTTAAATCTATATTTTTAAATTACGCTTTAATTCTATAATAAATTATATTGAAAATAACTTCAGTCAACGTCATAAACCGAAACAAATGATTAACACAAATCTGAATTTTAGTTCTAAGACGCCAAACATGAGAAATGGAGCTATAGTTTTAGGACTTCAAAACTACAATGTATGCTCGTACAAGCATGAAAGGATACACTAAAGACGAAATTAGTATTGAAAGATTGAGAACTAATTTTGGACAAACAAACAAAAACAATTAAATGACCCAAATATTTCATGTTCAAATTTCAGTAAAACAAAAGCTTAAACCCTAATTACACGAAATTGGGCAATTTGCCGTGCAATTATCCAGAAAAAAAAATCTAAACTCTAAAAATAAACCGAATCCGTGCAATTGACCAAACATTAACAAAAAACAGCTCATTTTTAAATTACACAGATGAGGAATCATTTTCAATTAGCATTAAAAGGCTTTAACTACGGAGTAATTCTTTAAAACATAAATATTAGAGAAATATCTACCTAAGAACAAGCTTCAATGTTTGGCGTAATCCAACGTTTTTATTTATACCGAGAATAAAATTTACAATACCAAAAAACACCTTGAAACAACACTACACAATGTCAAATTGCATACATTTCACATTGCCAATATTTAGAGAAAATAAAAATTAGAAAATCTTATGTGGGAAAAAAATTTGCATTTAGAATTTCGTAATATTTAAGTAGATATTCTAGAATATATCTTTCTAAAATGTTAAATCTCCGTGGGGAATCGGGATCGGATGCTAAACAACAACTCAATTAAACTCTGTCTGCTAGATTAGGGTCTGGAGAGGATGTGTAAGAGATATTGCCCCCAATCTCATAAACTTTCAAGTTTTTGAAAATGATGAACTTCGAAAACCAGGGGCATATTTTACATTATGGCTGGGTTATAGTCAATATTACAAAACCCATTTTTTTAATTTTAAAAAGAAAAAAAAAACACTAATGAGAAGTGATCAAACCAAACAAACCTTAATTTTTTTCCTTGAAAAAATAATTTTTTTCAAGTCCAAATGGAAGTCCAGATTCTCTCCCCAACAAAGCTAACGAATCTTCTCACTGCCCCACCTTCTTCTTCTTCCTCCTCATACCGGGTTGAGTCCAACTCGGCCGAGTTCGACTCGCCAGACTCGCCCGTTTCCAAACTCAACTCGGAGCTATTCATCGACTCGCCGGAGAATCCCGGAGGGGGAGAACCGGACGGCCCTTTCGCCTGCTTCCTCCCGGCCTTGCCCTTCCTCTTCTCCCTCCTCTGGTTTCTGCTCCACGAGGCCAATCGGTCTTCGTAGGCGTCGATGATTTCGTGTATGAGCTGGCGGTTCGGCGACGAGTCCCACCTGCCCCAGTAGCTCATGTAGCAGCTGAAGCAGTAGCAGTCGAATCGGGGCGGATGCGCGTCGGAGCCTCCCTTTCCGCCGCAGTACGCGGCGGATTTCCTATCGGCGTTGAAGCTCCCGGCGGAGCAGGACACGAGATAGGCCAGCACTTCCTTGTCTCCCTGTCCGAGAGCGACGGTGAGAGCCAGAATCGCCGCCGGCAAAAAGGCGAGCTGGTCTAGAACCAGCGGCGGCGTGGGATGAACTGCGCTCTTTCGGTAAAGCTTTTTCATTGTCGGATCGTCCGATTGCGGCGGCGGCGCGGAGTGAACAGTGTGAGGGTTTGGGAATACGGAGTATAGTAAAAGAGGGAAAAAAATAAAGCTGAGAGTTGAAGATATTATATGTGGGGTTGGGTTCAGAGATAAAAAAAAAGAAAAAGGAGAGGGGTTTTATTCCTCTGCAGCGCAGGTGCACGCTGCGGACGCATGGATGGTCATCTACATCAAAGGCAGGGAGCTAATCAGCGGTCTTGTATGGGCCCCACAAGCCCTTTACAGGCTGAGATTCTGAACTGTTTTAGAGAACCACGTTCCCTGTCCCCTCCCTTTTCCTCAAAATCAAAAATATTTTTTGAGGAAATTTAAACCAAAATTATAAAATAAAAACAACAATAAGGAAGAGTTATCACTATAGGGATGAGATTTATCTCTTTTTTTTCAAACTCATAAAAGTTTTTTTTTTCAAAGCTGTGAAAATGAAATATTCTAAAGCAGAAAGAAAAGGTTTAGGCTGAGAAAATAAATATTCCCCAATCTCAAAAGCATTTTTACATTTCACTTCAGAATTTCACATAAACCCATTATCCATATGTTCATTGTGAACTGAATATTCAGTTCACTGTATATTGAGAAAAGAATATACGGAGTAGAATACATGTGAAAGAATGAAATGAAAAATTAGTCCATGTGAAGTGTATGATATATGAAACCCAAGAGCAGACAGCATAAGGGCAGGAGAGAAAGGTTGAGGAAATGGCGGAACTAGCCTTAGATGGAAGAGAGGAGACAACTCAAATGCCATCGGGTAAAAGGGTATTTTTGTCAAATCCATAGCATGCCTTCTCTGAAACTTTCATGGTGCTTCGCTTTATAGAAGACTTCCTGAATCATGACAGATTTCATTGAACCAAAGGGGTCAATAGATTTATAGATTTTACAACGTAAAAAAAATGGTGAAGAAGCGGTCAGGGTATTGCAAGACCTTTAAGAAGAGGTTTGGAGACGAGCCTTGATCCAGGATTCCAAATAGTGTAACTCCACCTGGGTTATTGAATGGCCAAGGCCAGGATAAGCCTGTAATTTTTGCCAATAAGAGTGAATCATCTAAACATGGCAGAAGGTGTGGATGGGGTGGGGGAAGGGGTGAATCTTTTGACATCCGCCCTCGGTGTCATGAATGTGT